CTCCTTCTTTGCTCCCCACCTCTCTTATCTCCCCTCTCCCCCCTCCCCCCCGCCGCCCTCACCTGGTCGTTCCTCTTTAAGTTCACCTGCGCTGGCGCTGCTGTGCCACCGCGCCGCCTCATGTGGCCTCACGCATAATATTTGCGGCATGCCGTGGCACATCAGTGGCATGTCGCGCCATATATCAGTGGCAAGCCGTGGCATATATCAGTGGCATGTCGTGCCATATATCAGTGGCATGCCGTGGCATATATCAGTGGCATGCCGTGGCATATATCAGTGGCATGTCGTGCCATATATCAGTGGCATGCCGTGGCATATATCAGTGGCATGCCATGCCACCACAGCTCACAATAGGATGCTGCACAAGCTTTGTTTGTCCGTTCGCTTTTAAAGCGGCCATTCTTAATGAGCTGTCATTCTTAATGAGTGGTAATTCCTAATGAGTGGCCATTCCTGATAAGTGGTCATTTTTAATGAGTGGCCATTCCTAATGAGTGACCATCTCTGATGAGAGGAAATTTTTAATGAGTGACCATTCCTAATTAATGAGTGGTCATTTTTAATGAGTGGCAATTTCAAACAAACGGGCATTCTGAATGAGCGGACATTCCTCATAAGCGGGCATTCCTCATAAGCGGAATTTTTTATAAACGATCCTGCGCAAAATACATCGTGTATGCCTTGATGCCTAATAAATTATTTCTTTCCTAATTTACGTTTTATTTACGCAAATTTGTATTAAATTTGCTTATAAGTCTCATTTAATGACGTTAATTTTTCCTTTATTATGGTTTGAATGTTTTTTTTTTACAATGTGTTCAATATTTGTAGCAGAAAAATATTTTTTCCATGTTATCTTCTTAATTTAATTACAGTGTTTCCAGGGCAAACTCTTTATAATTTCATTAACCGTATTTCTTCCAGCAAATTTTCGTTGAATATTATTTTTCTCTTCATATTGTAAAATGTTTTATTTCTTATTGTATTTAATTACAGGGTTTTCATGGCAAACTCCTTATAATTTTTTTTAATCTCATTTCTCCTAGCAAATTTCGTTTAATAATATTTATTCTCTTTATATTGTATAAATGTCTTATTTTTTATTGTATTTAATTTCAGGGTTTCCAAGGCAAACTCTTTATATTTTTTTTTAATCATATTTCTTCCAGCAAATTTTCGTTTAATAATATTTATTCTCTTAAAAAACCCTGCAATTAAATACAATAAAAATAAAAGATTTATAAAATATAAATATTCTCGTCATATTGTATTAATGTTTTATTTTTTATTGTATTTAATTGCAGGGTTTCCAAGGCAAACTCTTTATAATTTCTCTAATCGCATTTCTTCCAGCAAATTTTCGTTTATTATTATTTATTTTCTTCATATTGTATAAATGTTTTATTTTTTATTTAATTTAATATTTAATTTAATATTATTTATAATTTAATTTTATATTATTTAACTACAGGGTTTCCAAGGCAAACTCCTAATAATTTTTTAATCATATTTCTCTTAAATCTTATTTCTCCTAGCAAAATTCTTATAATATTATTTATTCTCTTTATATTGTATAAATGTTATATTTTTTATTGTATTTAATTACAGGGTTTCCAAGGCAAACTCCTGTTTGGCTCCAAGGAGATCGTGGCTATCAGCTGCAGTTGGTGCAAGCAGGCGTTCCATAACCGCGAGGCCTGCTTCCCCATCTCCAAACTGGAGGAAACCTGCTCCTTGGGTGAGTGCTGCTCCATGGGTGAGTGCTGCTCCATGGGTGAGTGCTGCTCTATGGGTGAGTGCTGCTCCATGGGTGAGTGCTGCTCCATGGGTGAGTGCTGCTCCATGGGTGAGTGCTGCTCCATGGGTGAGTGCTGCTCCATGGGTGAGTGCTGCTCCATGGGTGAGTGC